TTTAATTAAATGACATTTGTTTTACGATGATGTTCATGAGTTAATAATTTTCATAGTACGCGATGTCCAGCAAAATCCGAAATCTTTTACTTAAGTTTTCTGGGAAAATTGGCCACCCCAAATGTTTTGCATTTTTGTTTCATTCATATGATCATAAACTCTACCTGAAGGCAAAATTCTATAGCATTCTGAAGACCTTCGACCCATTTAGTCCAGTAATAAAAAAATCCCCAAACATTAACTGCTTTGCTAGACGTTCAGTCAAAAAGTGGTCTTCAGCCAAATAGAGAAATTTCTTTTTTTTTACAATGCGTTTATTTTACCAGGCTCATTTGCCGTAGCTTTGCGGAGCCGATATTCATTGTTTAGATTACAAAATTTCTTAAAACTAACGTTAGTAAAGCGGAGGCCGATTACTCGCGGCTATCTCGAGGCTGGGGGTAACAAATTGTAACAAATGGATGGCAGGGTAGGGATTGAGAACACAAGGTTTGTAGAGCAATGTGCTCTTGATCTCGAACTAAGCGACCAACTGTTGAAAAAGACAAACATGGGGGTACACAGATGGGCAGCTAACAACTTGGAGGAACACAAGATGAAAGTAACCAATAAATCCTCAGATCTATCCGTTTTAAAAACACATAAATTAAATGCAATAGTCAAGATCTCTGCTCGCCAAGATGTCTCTAACGGGCCGCATAGGTTGTTTTCCTCCGGCCCTGAGGGATGCGGATAACTCGGATCTAGCAACACAATGGAGGGTGCATGACCAAAGCACGTGGTCGATATCGTGATAGCCACTACCACAAGGGTCTAACGAGTAGTGGTTGGACATAAGCCTTGACATGACACGTATAAAGTCACGGTTCATGTCCAATCCTTTGAACCACGGCTTGTTAGATACCGGAGAATAGAATGTAACCATCTTCCCAGATCACTCTCATTCCATTTTTGTTGCCAGTTGGCGAGGACTTGCTGATGGGTAATTGAGAAAAATTCTGCAAAGGCGATTTGTCGATCTAAAATATCGCCTTCCATAGCGCCCACCTTAGCTAGCGAGTCCACTTTCTCATTACCCGGAATTGAGCAATGAGATAGGACCCAACTAAGGTGATTGTATAGGAGCAGTTAGATAAAGTACTCAATTTAGCTCGGATTTCGGTCAGGAAATACTCCAAGCGTTTATAGTTGACCCATCTGTGAAAAAAGTCCTATTGTTACTGACATGGTGGTACTTGTTTGCAAAAATTAAGGGAACAACCATCGACCGATGGTGATCTGGTATTCCACGGATTTCTTGCAACATGGTTAGATCAAAATTTACAGAGGGAACTATAAAAGTCTTGGAAGTCAACACGATTCAAATTGTACGAAGAAGGGCCAATCTCCAGCGTTATGTACTCGTAGTAGAGACTCATAAATCTTGTTTGAGGATTTCGATCGAGCAGCTTCTCAAAGTTTTATATTACCAATGGGTTCATTACTTTACAACGTATAAGAAACCGGAAGTACAGTTCCGCGAAACAATCTATCAGTGGGAGAACACCCGCGAGTACTTCGAGGCTCATCGCATGCGTCGAGTGCATACAGCCAAGCGCGATTCGGAGGCAACGGTATTGAACCCGTTGCAGCTTCAGGATGTGTGTTTTTGCCGCGATTGAAAGCAGAGGCTACCGTACTCTAGGACAGACAAGATAGTTGTTCGATATAACCTGATCAGATCTTCCGGGTGTGCTCCCCACCAAGTTCCGGTAATTGTGCGAAGAAAATTGATTCTTTGTTGGCATTTTTGTTTCACGTACGCAATATGTTTTCCCCACGTGCTTTTGGAATCATCGAACCAGACACCTAAATACTTGAAAGATATACTTTGAGTGATTGTTCTACTCTTTCTATCCTAGAAAAAACAACCAACTCAGTTTTCCCTGGAGAGAATTCGATACCCAGCTTCATAGCCTAAGTAGACAAATTGTCTAAGGTATCTTGCAATGGCCCTTGCAGGTCCGGTGCACTTGGTCCTATAACGGACACAACCCCGTCATCTGCAAGCTGCCTTAGCGAGCAATTTTCATCAAGACAACCATCAATGTCTTTTACATAGAAATTATAAAGAAGGGGGCTTAAAAATGAACCCTGGGGGAGACCCATGTAACTAATTCGTGAAGTTGTCGAGTTTCCATGAGAAAAGCTCATATATTTCTCAGACAACAAGTTGCTCAAATAGTTGTTCATAATTGGTGAAAGCCCACTATTGTGGAGTTTATCCGAAAGGACATCGATACAAACAGAATCAAAAGCCCCCTTAATGTCCAAGAAAATTGAACCCATTTGCTGTTTTTGCGCATAGGCCAGTTGAATTTCAGTGGAAAGCAACGCAAGATAGTCGCTCGTTCCCTTGCCTCTCCGAAATCCAAATTGCGTATCTGAAAGTAAATCATTCGACTCGACCCATTTGTCTAGACGAAAAAGAATCATTTTCTTCAACAATTCCGTATACAGGACAGCATCGCGATGAGACGGTACGAGTTATAATCCGACGCGGGTTTTCGAATGGCGATAACTCTTACTTGTCTCCAGTCATCGAGAGAAATTTCAACTTTCCTTTACTAGATGTTCTGCATACCGATATTTTCCCTAAGTTGATGATTTTCAAAGTCCCTTCAATTTTGCATGGATGCTTTTTTCCCTTACTCGGTGCCTCCTTTACTCGATGCGTATTGGTGTATTTCCCCAGGTATTTAATCGACCTTAGTTAATCTAATAAATTTTTTGAAAGATTTTGGATGAAGTCGTTGCAATAAAATTAATCATTGTTTTTCGAAATTGAGCTTCATTGTGGTCTACTTAAAAGATTATTAAATTATTTTTAAAACATACTTTTATTGACTAATTAGCCAATATAACCAAGGTTGCAAATACTTATTTCATCTAAAACAATGGTTTTTTTTTTAAATTATGAAATAATTAGATGCTATGATCATATTTTGAATTGGTAAAATACAAGAAGAGGTTGCAAAGAATGTGTTTGACATATTAAACCTGTTTATTTCACTTCATGAGAGTCACAATCAGCGATTTTTCACACACTCACTCACTCACTCACTCACTCACTCAGCTATCAGCAAATCGCTGATTGTGACTCATAGAAAGCAAAATTTACAGGTTTTATGATGTTTCAAACGAATACTTTTTAACCTCTTCTTGTAAGTTACAAGTAAAACATGTCATCATACCAGCTTTAAGTTTTATTATTCCAAAAAACATTATTTTAGCTGAAATGAGTATTTGCAACCTTGAATATAACGTTAGAGATTACTTCCAATTTCATATGAAAATCACAGCTAAATAGATGATTAAAGTCTTGGCTACAAAGAGTAGCGGTAGCAGTATGAGATCGCAACCAAACGAGCTCATATTTTGAGAAAATGATGAGGATCTGATTAGGAATCGATGTATAGCGGTGGATGAAAAACGATGTTTTGATCCACCATAATACCAATCATGACCTTTCATCTTTTACGGTTCCCATTCGACAATCGGCACCAGCAGTTTAGTGACATACGAACAGCTACAAGACAAATTTCCGGTTCATAGACATCTGCTTGTCGAATCAAATGTTCCCAAGCGATCGGGTTGTAATTAATTGTCATTTATACAACATAAAGCACAAAAAAAAAGAGACCCAAAAAAGCAACAGCAAGGATTGAGAGTTTGGGTATATGACGCATAAAACGGGATACTAAAACCATAAACATATGCATGTAGCAGGGGGACAAATAAAACAAACGCAAAACAGTTATTCAATAAACAATGCTATAGTCAGCTTTTATTTACACTTCATAAGGGGACCGCAAAATATAATATCGAGCACAAAATAAATATTTGTTTTCCGAAGCAATTAAAACGGGTGTATTTGGGTACACATTACAATAAATTAATACAATAAAAATCGATAACACGAGTGAGACAATAATAAACTGGAATTGGATGAGATGAGAGGAGGAGAAAGGGGAATGGGATTACAATCGAAACAAATAATAAATTAACGTAATTTTTCCAACTAAAGATACATTGAACATTAATAGAGATAAAACTAAAGAACAAACAAAAATTCGAAAGTGCTGGCTAAATTTTTGCGTTGACATTTAATTTCACGGTTATGTACAAAATGGCATGCATCGCAAAAATCCAGCTTCGCACGATTAACTAGCTTAAAACTAAACAATAGCTTAACTTACTGGTTCATAGGAATTTCCTCTAATTATGTACAAATTCCGATTGATCCTGATGCGGATGATTCACTTTCGCCTTTTACACGTGCCGCCAACCGAATCAATTTAGATCAAACTAAACAAAAACAATTCTCCCATAACCTAAAAGTAATTTTGATTGATTCCATATCGCTTAATCCGAAAATATTTACACAATTCGACTAACTTCCCACCGAAATAAGAAACATAAAAAAAAAAAACAAAAAACTAATTTATTGCAATTTTCCGAATCGGGCCGGCACGTCTGGAGCGTTGTGAACCATTTGTCATATCATCCATCGGTTCATTGTGTGATCATAGAAAGCGATGGCTATTTTCAGTGAAAGTTTGGCAGTTGATCGTTCATCACTGGCTGGCAAGTGCTGGCTTGTTCAAGTGTATTCAAAGTAAAAGAAGAGAGTTGTGAACTTCTGAAACGCTACTTTTCAGCGAAGTTCACCAATGGTACTAATAGTAAGAGAAGCGTAACTTTCCGAAGGATTTTGTTCATTTTAACAAGGTAAGCCTATCTACAACATTGAAAGCGGAGGGCGAAAGAATAGCAATGTTTTTTATTTGCCGTTGGGACTGGAATATAGTTTGTTTGAGTTTTGATATGTACAGTTGCGTAAATTTCTAAGCCTTTCGGTGGGTTTCTGTTTGACAGAATGTTCACTAGAATGTGCTTGAGAGCTACTTTTCCGATTGGTTTATTGGGTTTTGTCATCAGACGAGAACACCTTTGCCTACCTCCTTGCTGAACGTCACTTGAGGAAGATTGAGTTTCCGCTTGGCGGTTTCAATCGAGATGTTGGAACAGGCCGTGGACGAACGGGCAGGCGCGGTTGAAGGTTTCAACGATGGTTCCTCATCCTGAAGCTGTTGCAACTGCTGCTGCTGCTGCTGTTGCTGTTGCTGATGAAACTGCACCTGAGCGTTGAATGGTGCATAGTTGATCAGATTGCTAGTGGAAGTGGCACCAGCACTTCCCGGCCGGAGCCCATTAGTGGGCCGTTGTGGACGTCGAAAGATTTCCAGCAGCAGTGTATTGCCTTGGGTTTTGATCAAGTTCAGTACATCCAGTTCCGGCATCGTGACGACATTGTGCTTGTCAACAAAGACTACGTAGTCTCCCGGCAGGATTCCGGCTTTCTCGGCGGACAAACCGGGTTCAACTTTCTCCACCCGTGGAGGATGGGTCCAAACGATCGAAAATCCGAAACCCTTGTCGCCGATCCGGTTCAGTTTTTTAGTGATGGTGAAAGGAGTTCGACCCGGGTTCGGTTTGTTTGAACAGATTGAACTACGGCGGGGAGTTGACGGAACGGTTCCGGTTTCCAGCGGCGGATCCAGCTCCAGGAATCGAAGGAACAGGTTTTCGTCGGCATCTCGCTGATGGAGCGCCTTTTTACTTAGGCTTATAGGTTCCGGGAGGCTGCTGGCGGTTGCGCTTACTAGCGCAGCACTTTCCTCCACGCTGACGATCTCGTCAACGCTGGATTGCGAGTTTTCGCACATGTCTGGTATTGGTGGCGAGGGGTTCGTCAAACACGACTGCGGTTGTAGCTTGAAAGAGCCATTAATTTCCTGGATTGTTGGGAGAGAGAGAGAGAGAGAAACATAAATTAGTTAGATGGTCGTTTACGGGTTGAGGAAGGGAAGGTGGAAGCACCCTAGCAGCACACTTGGCGCGAAACAGTTGTGGCAACTCCTATGCGACTTATTTCGGACAAAATCAAGTTGCTGCAACACTTCGTGACGGAAGTGTGCTACTTGGGCAGTGGCATATCATAACTGGGTAACACATGGGGTAAGTGGTGTGGGTGTCATCTAACAATATTAAAAAACCGCTATTCCAAAATTTTAGAATCATCGATGAACTATTCAATAATCCTATCGTAAAGATGCTTCTTTTAGCTAATTTGTTTTTTAAACCTGGTTCAGTTCCAACCTGCGCACTGAAAAAACACGATTTCGGGTTGCAAGTCAGATTATATGATAGTGTGCGTAAAATCGCGCCGAGCAAGCATCGAGATGTCAAAAAAATTGTGTTTCATCGTATATTCGCCATATTCGTGCGTAAGAAGAGTAATGCCACGGATACACCTGAATTACAAACTATGAGCATGAGCATTATTTGTATAATAATTATGAGCACTACACAATAACTAAAGGGCGAACACGAAATTATTGCGACACCGAAAATATCATGCCAATTTTCTTATAATGTTTAGAATCAAACCAAAATTTTAGGGTAGTTTTATACATATATTTACTTCAAAAATCAAAAGAAAAGTTAATCGATGGAGCCTTGAGTGTAAAATTGAACGCATTTTCGCTTGATGCCCTCCATCAAAGTCTTTACAGTGTCATCCGGTACCAGTTTTTTTTTCCAATTTCTTAACATGTCCTTCTCGTCTTTGACTGTCTTCTTGCTCTTCCGAAGTTCCCGCTTCATTATTGCCCAGTACTGCTCCACCGGGCGCAGCTCCGGACAGTTTGGCGGATTCATGTCCTTTGGAACAAAATGGACAGAATTGGCCTCATACCACTCCAGGACACTTTTAGAATAGTGGCATGATGCCAAATCTGGCCAAAATAGCGGAGCTTCGTCGTGCTGCTGCAAGAACGGCAAAAGGCGCTTCTCGAGGCACTCAGATTTGTAGATCTCGCCATTTACTGTTCCCTTTGTCACGAAAGGCTCACTCCTCAGTCCGCAAGAGCAGATGGCCTGCCAAATGAGATATTTGGAGGCGAACTTCGACATTTTCTTCTTCTTAAATTTGTCGTCCACATCGAACTTGCTCTTGCCGGTGAAAAACTCCAACCCCGGAATTTGCTTAAAATCGGCTTTTATATACGTTTCGTCGTCCATCACACAGCAGCCATATTTTGTCAGCATCTTCCCGTAGCGCTTCCGTGCCCGAGTTTTAGCCGTCGATTGTTGCCGCTCATCGCGGTTTGGGAAGTTCTGTACCTTGTATGTATGTAGTCCAGCTCTCTTCTTTGCATTCTGGACGTAGCTCTGCGACATGCCGATCTTTTTAGCCAAATCACGGCTTGAGACGTTGGGATTTGCTTTAATCATCCGCTTCACCTTTCCCTCCGTCTTTTTGTTCTCCGGTCCCGGTTTTCTTCCAGCTCCTTTGCCGTGGTCCAACGTCAACCGCTCCTGGAACCGCTTCAACACTCTGGAGACGGTTGAATGGTGAATGTTTAACATTTTTCCCAACTGCCGGTGCGACAGGTCAGGAAATTCCAGGTGTTTGGAAAGAATTTGTTCTCTCAACTCGCGTTGGTTCACCTCCATTTTCGTTGCATCGAAAAACATGACTTCGAGTTTGACAGCATGTACACAATACACATCAATGAGAAAGTGTACAAAATTTTGTTGATTTTTACCCAATGGTAAAAAAGTTATGCCCTGTTGAATGTGTCGCAATAATTTCGTGTTCGCCCTTTATACAAAAACTATACAAGTGTGACCATGGATAATATCCATTATATGGATATGCTCATTATTTAGACCATAGTTCTACCATTAGGGTTATCGTTTGTTTAGGGCTGCGGAATGAACTACACAGCAAAAAAAAAACTAATATCGATCAACGCAATTCAAACAGATGTATGAAATAAAAATATAATAGCAAAAATCAGATACATCAATGGATGTAATTTTGTTGGCATAATCGATATACATCGTACAACGAGCGGAATGATCTCTGTGAAGCTGTTTGGATGTTATATTCAACAAATTTTCTTTCTGTGTTTTGGTTTTGGTCTAAATTTGAACCAAATCGGTCAACATCGACCCATTTCAAAAGCGGGTTGAAGTTTTGTGTGGGAAAAATCATCAAAATGCATGGAGAAATCCATGGCTTCAATGCCGAGTTCAATGCTTTGCCACTAGGCGTCGTGATACACATGCAAACACCATCACATCTGAGATTCTCATTGGAAATTTTATGCTAAACAACTTTGTCCAAGACGATCCGACTTGATCCAAAAACGTTATTAGCATTTCATTGAAGTCATGTCTGATTGATGCTGCCAAAGGGCCTTTCCCTTGTCATGCTAGATGCTTTAAATTCGTAATGGATTTGTACATTAATGTTTAGGCCCTTCGCCAGCATCAATTAGTTAATATGGTTTCCTACTAGAATCTCAGACTTGACGGAATTTTCACACCTAGTGGCGAAAATCTGAAGCCATGGTATTTATCCGTACATTTGGATGATTTTTTCCTTACAATCTGATTTAAAAATTGTTAAATGTTGCCCAATTTGCCTCAAATTTGGACCAGAGCTTGGAGAATCGGCAAAAACTAGGTAGAAGAAGTCGATATTCCTTTATTACGATTAACTTTTAAGCAAGTGCTTTGTGTACACTACCCGTTGTAAGTATGGATTCGTTGGGAAACATATCGCAACATTCATATTGAATATTAGGACGTTTGAATAAAACAATTTGAGTAAATGTTTCCGTGATTTTCTTATGGAGAATACGCTTAAGTATATTCTTTTATGCATACGGTCTATTGTATCACCTCCCAAAACCTTACCTCAAAACCGTCGAAAAACGTGAAAACTTTTGGAATTACTTCTGAAAGCTCTGAACTACTTCGGAAGAGCTTGGAATCACTTCAGGATGTTTGAGATGAACTATCCGTTGGCTAAATATCTCAAAAATAATCAGTTTCAAAAACATCACAAAGTCTTGAATTACTTCAGAAAATTTTTAAATAACTTAGAAAAATACTGAATCACATCGAAAAAGTTTGGAATCACTACTTCTGAATGACTAAGTAAAATTTTTGAATAACTGAAGTAGAAAAGTTTTGATTTATCTCGGAAAACTTAAGAAAATATTCGTCATATTCTGGATCACTTGAAAAAGTGTGGAATGACTTGAGAAAATTAAGGATGCATTTTTCCAAGTACTGAGTAGTTTCAGAAATCTTTGGAATGATAAAGTTATGATTTCGATCGGAAAACTTTGGAATTACTTCGGCATGTACTGAATCACTCGGAAACATTTGGATTCACTTGGCAAAGTACATAGCCACTTCGCATACTTTTGGAGTAACTTCAGAAACTACTGAATCACTACGGAAAGTAGTTTATTTTTTGTTCATATTTTTTTTTAAATTTTTTGACCCCAACTGCGATACATTAAAAACAAAATTGGTCTATTTCAATGTATTGGAGAACCCAACTGCGAAACTGTAAAATATTTCAGTGCAAACCTATCGGGTTTGGAGTTAACGCAACCTACGTGCACTTGGAGTTATTCGTTGAGATCGTTGATGCTTGATTTTCGGAAAGCTAAGCTAGCATTGACCCTCTGTTGACTTGGGAAACGTACTGCAATTGTGTCTGCCAGGTAAATAATATGCCCTACCGAAGCTAGTATCAATTTTTGCATACTACATAGCGCTTTCCTTGTGTACCTCTGATCTATCGTACCATGCCTGCATCATCATCATCATCCAAGCGGAAGACGATGTCTTTCAAGACGTTAGTTACGAAACTAAGGGAGTACCAAAGTTTCTTCAACGATATTTGGGAGTTCGTTGAAGACTTCCCGGGAGATGATGTTGCATCGGATATGTCCATACGTTTGGAGAGACTCGATGAATTAAGGGAGAAAATCGAGGAAACTGTTATCGAGGTGAAATCACATACCAGCTCTCGACAAGGAGAGGAAGGATTTCAGTATGCGGTACTACAAAATAAAATCCTTTCCCATGGACAGTCTTAAGGAGCTACAAGTGACTGAAGTTTCTGAGCAATCATTTCGAGCTACAAATTCGACGACTTCTAGCAATTTCGATCATGCTTGCCACAGATAAGGTTGCAACCATTCAATGGAGACATAAATGAGTGGTTAAGTTTCCGCGATCTGTTCACTTCGTTAATCCACTTTGGAACAGATATGCCGGAAGTTGAATAATTTCATTATCTGAAGGGATGCCTCCTAGGTGAGCCAAACAGCCTCATAGATACAAATCACCAAAACCAACTATCAAGTAGCTTGAGATATGCTCGTCACGCGATACAGCAACAGCAAGCAGCTAAAGAAGTGTCAGGTGCAAACACTTTTCGATCTACCTACTCTGACTGACTCGTTGCCACCCTGGCTAGCAGACTTCAAGGGACCTGCGTCATCATCATCTTCAGTGAAGCAACGGTTGCCGATCATGAAGACAAGCTCAACCAATATCCAGCGCGAGCTCTCCTCGATTCTGGATCAGAGAGCAACTTTCGGGAAAAATTTGACCATCAAATTTCGCTAACAAACCATACACAAAATGTTTATTGCCTCGAAAAATGACCCTATGCAAAATTTGAGCTCAATCGGACATGATTTAGGGGTGGCGCAAGCGCGTCAAAGTTTGACTTTTTTCACTCTCGAAAATCTCCCAAGGGGGGGGGGGTACATGAAATCTCGGAAATTGAAATTTTTTTTTTTGATGCCAAATGTCTTAACAATGCATGAAACGTCGAGATTTGGTGTTATCTCGAAAAAATTTTTTTTTCAAAAATCGACTTTCTGGGACTTAAATTGTTTTTCATGAGTTCTATATGGAATATAGAAGATTGATGAGTCGGCTTCTAAAACTGTTCACAATTGTCTCCAACCTGCTTATATATAGAATTAATCCACCATTTAGGATCTAATGCGAAATAATTCACTAGGGTGGTTCAATTATTCTTCATTAGGGTGGTCCAAAAATCAAAATAGGTATGTAAAAACCATTACTTTTTACCAAACGCATGTATCTGAAAATATCATCATGTTGTGGTACTTACTTCTGTCAGGTAAATGCTTTAACTGATACATTTGCATTTAATTTTCTAATGATTTTTTTTTACAGATGCTCATAAAAACATTACAGCCAGATCCATTGTTGAATCCAACGATATTTCAACGATTGAACTACACTCGTTTGTACAAGGCAGCAGTGGTATTGAAAACTTATTCAAAGCTCTCCAAATTCCGAAGTCGTTGCTGAATGTCGATATGGAGCAGTGGAGTAGTTCCATCGAGTTTAAAAATGCCAAAAGACGGGTTCAATGTTTGGAAGTAGTTAATGATAATGCAGAGCGTGGTATAGCATTGATTAAAACATAAATTCAAAACTATCAACGGATGAAGATCAAAAGCAGTGCATTTTACAATTAGTTGAAGATCATCGAAAAAATTATAAGAGTACCAGGAAATCTGATTTGGTGTAGCTAAATAATAAGGAAATATATGGCAGAGTATAAAACAAGTATTTTTTCATCTTTTCAGGCAAATGTTCCTCTTGTGTACAACTCATGATTCCCAAAAAAAAAAACAGATTAACGCAATTCAAGATATTTTTACAATTGATTTTAGGAATTTCTGATGAAAAGTTGTGGTTTTTCATATATTTTTGAATTTTTGGACCACCCTAATGAAGAATAATTGAACCACCCTAGTGAATTATTTCGTATCAGATCCTAAATGGTGGTTTAATTCGATATATAAGCAGGTTGGAGACAATTGTGAACAGTTTTAGAAGCCGACTCATCAATCTTCTATATTCCATATAGAACTCATGAAAAAAAATTTAAGTCCCAGAAAGTCGATTTTAAAAAAAAAATTTTTTTTTCGAGATAACACCAAATCTCGACGTTTCACGCATTTTTAAGACATTTGGCATCAAAAAAAATTTCGATTTCCGAGATTTCATGTATGGGAGATTTTTGAGAGTGAAAAAAGTCAAACTTTGACGCGATTGCGGCACCCCTTAATCATGTCCGATTGAGCTCAAATTTTGCATAGGGTCATTTTTGGAGGCAATAAACATTTTGTATATGGTTTGTTAGCGAAATTTGATGGTCAAATTTTTCCCATACATTCATTGGCAGTCTATGCTCAGTATGCATCGCTTCGCTACCATCCAGCAGAAAAACAAACAAAGTCGAGTATGCGAGGAAATGAGCCTTCTTGTTTGCTTTTAGCCTATCCATATCCCGAAGCACGAAGAGAACAGTGGATAAAGCACAGGTCTGATAATCGCAACGTTCGTGGTTTGAGTCCCCGAGTCGGAATTTTTTTTGACATGATCAATTTCACTCACTAATACACTCCACATTTTTCTTTCTCCATTTTCTTGCATTGGACCACAGCTCAGTATATCGCATCCTCTGTTCATGCGGTCTCCACTAACATCCTCTGATTATGAATCCCACATAATTGTAAGCAAATCTTTCATCTCCCGGTTGGGTGTATAGATCATTTTCTTAGAAATATGTTTAATTACAAAATTGAACTAGTGATAATGGATACAGAATGCCATTTATCAGATCATAAAACTAGTGTGTTGTCGTTTAAACTGCAGCCGGCAAAGGTCGATAGAAATTTCCAAAGAACAGTAATTAGGTATGATAATGTACAAAACTCAGTATTAGCAATGCTTTTGGATACATCGGAAAGTTTTAATGATTTAAGTATGAAACTAAAAAATGTTATTGATGATAATAAACATACAGTTAGTTATAAAAGGAAAACTGATGTTCGTAAGCCGTATATTTCTCCTCAACTTTAAATGCCATTAATCATAAAAATGAATTGTTCAAAAAAAAAAAAGAGCACCCCAAATGGGTCAATACTTAAAAGTAATGCGTTCAGAGATTATTCAACGGAAAGAAACAGATTAAGTAATCGAATAAAATTGGCTAAAGAAAAATACTACTCGGACAAAATCAATGAAAACTAAGCTTATTAATTACAAGAATACATGGAGTATTTTAAGAGAAATAATTTTTCAAAAACCATCCAATGACAAAAGTAATCAGAAAATCTCATTAAGGGAAAATGGTGCAGTATTATCAATTGATAAAGATGTGGCAAATTGTTTGAATAATTATTTTGTAAATGTTGGTTTAACTAGTCTCCCTATTCTTGATTCTGTGAATAATTTCGATCCAAAACCAATTAATAAGCAGTAGACAATTTGGTTTCATGCCAAAATGTGGTACAGAATCAGCATCATTAGAGCTTGTAAACTACGTTATAAGAGGTCTAGATGAAGGTGATTATGTGGCTTGTATCTTTATTTACCTGTCTAAGGCTTTCGATTGGATTACACATGTAATTCCTCAGAAAATGTTGAGTTTTTACAGTATTTCAGCTTCAGCAGTAAATTTAATAAAATCGTACCTGTCTCAGCGTGTCTCATCGTATCGTCAGCAGTCGTGCAATATTCGTGAAATATTAAGTGATTTAGCTGTACCGCAAGGATCAATGTTTTAAGGCTGATATTTTTAACCTGCCACTCAAAGGTGAGCTTCAATGTTATGCAGATGTCAAAAGTCAAAAAAGTCAAACTTTGACGTGCCACCCCTAAATCATGTCCGATTGAGCTCAAATTTTGCATAGGGTCATTTTTCGAGGCAATAAACATTTTGTATATGGTTTGTTAGCGAAATTAAAAATTACCATTTTCGCTGGCAGTCTAGTGCACAGTGGTCTAAAAGTGCCAAAACGTGCGTTTTTTAGTTTATGCGAAAACGGTCCATTTAAGCCATATAGTTTCTTCGGAGAAGTTTGTGCACTCAAAAAGCCCCTTCTTTCGAGCTTAGTCATTTTTTGATTAATTTACCTAGCAAGGAGATGAAAAATTTACTTTTTTTTTTAATATTAGCACTATTTCCAATGTCAATAGCTGGAAGTTGGGCATAATTACCACATTTGAAAGTATACTTAAAATGCTTCCCAATGCATACCAAATCATTAGTCTTCTTTAGTATTCTCTGCTTATTACCAAACTATAGGGTCACGACTTACAACCTTTATCTCAATATAGTTATATTTCATCAACCGTTGCATACAATATCAAAGAAAAAAATATTCATCGCTACCCATTTCCTCGTCACTTTCAGAATTGTTGCTTACTTCTGTTTCACCATCGGTTTATGCATCGGTAGATGGAACTAGAAGAGTTTGAGCATCTTCGGACAAAAGCAGTTTTGGAAGGGGTTTTATTGTTGAAATTAACGGGTCAGATGATTCAAGGACCAATGTTCGTTCAGTTAACCGGTTACTAAAACCAACACCGAGAATCACATTCCGGGAAGAACAAGGACCACTATTTGTTCAATCAATCGGTCACTACTGCCGACACTGTGAATCACCTGCCGGGGGGAACAGACACCAATCGTAGTTCAGTCATTTTTTAACACTATATATATAATAGACACCGGGACTCACCTGCCACGAGAAACAAGAACAACTGTTTTTTCAGTCAACCAATCACTATAATAGACGCTACGAATCACCTTCTTGTCAAGTCAACCGGTCACTACAATTTAGATTTTGGAATCTAAACTTTTACCACACGCGGCTTTGCAACGCCTACTTCAACACCAAGAGTAAGTAACGTATGAAGGAGCCTCTATGTATAAATGCAAGAAAACGATTATCTGTACACGGTTTACTATAGTTTGGTAATAAGCAGATCTGCAGAGAATACTAAAGAAGACTACTGATTTGGTATGCATTCGGCAGCATTTTAAGCATACTTTCAAATGTAATCAACTTGGTTTGTCCAATTTTGCCCAACTTCGAGCTATTGACCTTGGAAATAGTGCTAATATTGGATCAAAACATTGAATATCTTAAGAAATATTGAAGATAGCGTATTAAAAAAAAAAACAATCATTTGTGTAGAACATACTTATGTCGAAAAATTGCTTCCTGAAAAGTTATTTGCAAAAAAGTGATTTTCTGAAGGCTCTTACAAAAAAAGACATATCTCTGTTATCGTAAGAGATAGAGAGTTGACGTCTTGAGCAAAAATGTTTGTTTTAATATTGTCTAAAACTTTGCTCAAGGTGCGATCGAGAGTTTCAGGCTTCTCTTAGAGAACTCAATTTTCTGGTACTACGAAAGATGACCGCTAAACTACCCACGATTTCCATCGATACTACGGGATGGAAAATTCCACAAGACATTGAATTGGCAGATCCGACATTCTTTGTATCGAGGAATGTGGACTTAGTGCTTGGCATTGAGTAACCCCAGTTCTTGCAAAGATACACATTTACCGGGCGCATATTAAATAACCATTATCCTCTCGGATATCACACCACACCCTCACCCCGACCAAGTCACGCCACTAAGTAGAAACATATTGCAAATGACAGTGCGGATACTAACCTGTTTGTTGACATTTTTAAGGGGTAATGACATGCATCCTAGAAATTCGCTGCGTCTGGAAAAGAAAAAAAAAAACAAAACAAAAAGAATGAATGGCCGGAAGATAATGTGAATGGTGAATTGTTGAGAAACGGAGGCCTTGAGTGTGGATTTTTATACAATGAAAAAAGCAGTACAAAAAAGCTTATCAAGTCACCCGCGTGGGACTGCAATATCGAGTCTGATCAATAATTCAAAACTCAGCACTTACCCCGCAGTTTGCTTGAATATTTCATGCCACCCAGTTCTTGCCCGGTTCAAGCGCACTGGTCCGTGCCGTCTAATCACGAACTTTTCCCAGAATCCCAAAGCGGGCGCAAGGAAGATTAATGTACGTCTCCTTGGGGGACAAGCCAAATGTCCGATTTAATTTCCCTATTTTGACCTTCCACGGATGAGCGATGGCACTTGGTGAGCCGCTTGTCGGAAAAGTTCAAATAATTACGAGCGAAACTTGAAGCCTCGTGATCCCAAACCAAGCAAACTGATTGCTGTCCCATCAAAGGCTAATTTCATTTTATAAAGCATGATGCGAACGTGTCCTATCAAAACAGGCAATCAAATTAAAAATCCTAGAACCGAGACAGAGAAGGCCGTAAACATCAAACGCACACAGACACAAACATAAAGGCACGCACGACACCGAAGGCACTCACTTGATGTCGTTGGTGTTATTGTTATTGCTACTGCCAACACTGCTACTACTAATGACGCTACTACCAACACTGCTACCTGCCGTGCTGCCATCACCGCCGACATCAACCAGCTCGACGCTGCGTCATCTTCTGTCACCAGTTTCTGTAGAGCTCGCTGCTGTTTCCGCCACCTGCTGTTGCGGTCGTCCGATAGTTTCCGACAGCTCAACGCTCTGCAACAGTTGCTGGCAGATTCGAAAGCCGTCCTCCCGGTGCACCTCCTCCAGATACAATCGATGACAGCAGTCCTTTTGTTTACCACCGCAGCATTTATCAAAGTTCACCTTCTTCTTGCCTCCACGTGCAGTCGCTGCATTGGATGATCCGGATGGCGATCCACGTAGTATTCCGGCGACTGTTTGCAAAACGAAGGACATTTTCGTGTGTCTAGTATCTATTTTGGCGATCTACTGAAGGCGATAGCGTATCTACTATGCGTGTGTTTTTGGTGGCTTTCGATCCGGATGGTGTGTGAACAAGCAAAATGCAAGCAAGCTGGAGCAGTCAAAAGCAACGAACGCTCTAAATCGGTAAGTGTTTGACATGCATAACCCAAAACGAGGGAAACGAACAAAAAATTGGAAATAATTTGAAAGAAACACGACCGAATAGCCAAATTCCGCTGGGAGCCTTCGAACGCGTCATCGAGTTGTGCACCAATCAAAGCTGACAACTGCAGAAAATTGAAAACAAATCCAATGGCCATGCAGCCGAAGGTATACGGTGCCAAATCGGGATGATACTTGTGAGAGTTGGCAACGGTCCAGGGCGGTCGGATTGCATATTCCATTTGATGGAATCAAATAGCTATGTTCGAGTTTCATCAGCGCTACAGCGATTGGTTTGTAGTTGTGTTTGTACTACATAATTTGACTGGGAGAGGAGTGAGGATGGTTAAGGCAATGGTGTTGGATTAATTTTTAGTTACAGCGGAAAGGCACGCTATCGACGTAATAAATCCAGTAATGGGAAAAGTTAGTAGGAAAAGGCTTGCGTGTGGTGCACTTGCGACGAGGTGGACCCTTGGGATGGGGAAACGTTGACCTTTCAACCTCCTTCGTCGATGTGTCGTCCGTACTGCAGCAGAAGGCTGAATTCGTTATCGAAAAACTAAGCAATAAAGTTGAACAGGTACAGGAACAATTCGTGGCCCAGTTTCGAAGCTTCTCAGAATGATAGCACCGGTTACATAATCTCACCTGAATAATGAAACATAACAAGAAAAGTTGCTCCTTGTAAAAGGAATGGGATTTAGATGGAGCCGGGTGAAGCTTGTGTAATTTATCTACACGCGAAGCTGCATGGAAAACATGCAAACGAAGAAAAAAGTAATGAGCGTCTTTAGGGAACTCTTCACTCCTTCTACGATATTATACAAGCAAACAGCACTCCTTGAGTTATTGCTGCTCTTGGGAGTTCATCAACAAAGGGCACCGTTCGTAACGAGCTTCTTACAAGTGGAATTTGGCTACTATGAAAGTGTTTCGGAATCTCTACCCTTCCAAGCCCCCAATAAATGCTGATGAATGCCGAACGCAAAAACGAAACGGAACTAGTGCAATACTACCGGAAATGAGAAAATAGTTTACTTTTTCGTCCACTATCTAGATGCAGTGGCAATCCACTGATGGTAATCCACTACAGCTGTACATCCTCGAACTGAAACAAGCAACTGTCGTAATCCTCTGAAGATTAATTATTCACAACCATCCCACAGCACGATTCACTAGCTGCCACCACTCTTCTAGCCTGATCTCGATGATAAATGAGAATGTGAAGAAATTTAACTGGCACCGGATTGATTGCGTATACTTCTTTTCTGGGAATTATTCTTCTTTTACTCCACCAGCCACCCAACTGCCCAACTGCCACCCGATGTCTTCGTCGTTATTGCTTCTTTACTCTCTTCCTGGATCCATTCAACACACTCACTCCTTCCACCCGAATCCCCAGCGTTCTCTTCTGTACTACTAGCTCGATTATATAAAGCGTACCAGCAGCAGCAGCAGTTAGGATAGGACCACCACACAACCACGAAAAAAAAAAGAACGAGCCTAATCCTTCAGTGATTGATTTTTTACGCTTCTTTTCTCACTAGATCAAGGCTATCAATTTTCCAGAAGTAATTCACACACTAACACACACAATCGACAGCTGGTGCAACCTGAACTAAGGCTTAGATTGCACTTTGCAGCAACGCACTACCCTTGCACAGTCGTCCCAGCAGCAATCCTAGGACCTGGGAATGGGGTAAAATTTTCACTCGATGGTGATGCGTTAGCTTCTCCACTGAAGACGGCACCGTTTCCAAAATGGCTGAATCGATTGCGAGGACATACACACGCACATAGGAAAAAAAACGGGATCCTGACCGCAACCGAAATCCTTTACCTCACAATTCACCGCGGGGGGGATCCTCACGCACTACACACTACGGCAACTATCTACGACACTAACTAGCTACAAAATTGGCAATATTCCTGGTAAATTGGGCAAATTTTCTTCAGCAAATAAGGGCATAGAAAAATTTTCCTCCTTGGTACTTTGTTGGGCTTGAAACACACCGAGCGAGATACGAAAAACGGGACCTTCCGCGAGTAGAACTGCGACACGATTGAAGAGAAAATCTGCCTTGCCTGGTACTCAAAGGCTCGGCTGAAACGGACATGCGCTCTGCAAACCCCTGCATCTTCGGCTCACCCCGGTCCGAATGGTAACTCATCCGAAACCGAGCGAGCACGTTGCTGGGATGTTTACCACGAGGCTATCGCATCGCTCTGTTGCTTATGTCCCGGAATGTTTACGCTACGAGGGGTTCCCCAATGGCGGTTGCTTTACTTACTTGCACTCTCGGTCCCGATGCCAAACTGCCAACTGAATGCGGCGTGCTTCTTCTTCGTCCACTCCGGGCTCCAGCTCGAACACGAACCGGTGATCGAACAGCGGTTTGCTCGAGTTCCGATGCACCGCCGTTCGTTGGAAACCTTGTTCCGCACCGGGATTCGCTGGATTCACAACGGCAACCTTGACGTAAGCATTTATCGTACTCCCACCGGATCGTTGAAGATCTTTGCAGCGAATGACTAAAAAGAGAAAAACAACGGGAAACACAAGATTAGACATTTGTTCCAAGGGCGACCTGACGGTACTAAAACGCAAATGACGACGTCATACCATCCACCACTCACCGTGAACGTGCAGCTTTCTGGCGTTGTCTTCCTCGTTGACGTGAAGTTGCAAATCCAGGGAACCTTTGACCATATTCGACATTCGCGAACAGCGTGAAGTCGTAGACGATGCTACGGAGCGACGCTTTTCCAGAGAGTCTTCGCTGAGCGTCGGAGAGAAAGCCAGGCATTTGCGGGTCTTTTCGATCGAAAGTATTCCATCTACCGGTCCGGTTGGCGTCGAGGTTCCCTGCAGGTCGATCGATCGAATGCTCGGTGTCATTTCATCGATTGTACTCAACCCGGCTGGGTTCTCTGCTTTGTTTGGTACATCGGAATCCACGACGATTACGGTCTCCGTTGGAGTTTTCATCTGCGCTAGCTGCTCCAGTTTGGATTGGTTGTAGCTGGTGGTTTTTGGAGTTTCCGGACTGGGGATTCCGTTCGGAAGGGTCAGTCCGATGCGGCAGGGCTTCTTTTCGGACGGTTCCTTTTCGATTTGGTCGGCTTTGTTTTTTCTTCGGACCGCTTTCTGTCGCCGCAGGTGACAGGCATCTAGTGGGCTAGCTAGGACGAAACGGGTAAGTGATTGACGGAGGGATTTAGCACTTTTGGCGGGTTCCGGCGTTTTGACTTCACGTTCATTGATGTTGGTGGATTCTTCCAGGATGATGGTGGTTTCGACTTGTGCGATTAATTTTGGCGGGAGTTGTTCGATGAGAGTGTCTTTGTAGAGATCGGATGCGGGGTCGTCAGCAGCCGTGTACGTTGGGGAGGGTATTTTCGTTTGTTTGGATTTAACGCTGGAGCTACGCTTTGGATGATCCTTCTGGGCGCTCTCCAGGATTGCATCGATCATCTTGTCTAGTGTGATATCACCCATTTCGGACGAATTGAGCGATGGTTCCTCGTCGTTGAAGATTTGGTTGTTGTTGATTGTTTTTGGTTCAGCATGGCGCTTGAAGCTAATCTTGCTGAACCGAAGTTCGGACAGACGGGAGGATAGTGGGGTTAGACCAGGATCTGGTTTGTCCGGTGGAGGTGCCGGTGCGACGAAGGGTTTGGATCGTTTCGCTGCTGAAGGTTGATCGTCCGGGAAGTAGCGGCCTGGATTCTCAAAGTAGGAGTCAGTTAGTCCGAGACCCCGCAAGGCTAGAAATGGGACGTTTTTGACACCGCAAGGGGAGTATTCGATGTCGAACGTTGGTAGAGTGGATGCATAGGGTAGGTTTGTGTCCTTTTTGGCGGTTGAGGTGATCGCACTTGGAGGTGACACTGGAAGGGTTCGCTTGCGACCTTGAGGTGTGATGGAAAGACGGCGAGGCGTTGAGTTGGGTGTGATATTGCTGACGTCTCGGAGAGCCATGGAATAGGGAGAAGCTGAAGTCCGACTTCCGGCTGCTACAGGATGTGGCGTTGAAGTTACACATTGATTCTCTTTGTCGATGTGTGCGTGGCGATGCATGGTAGCTCCAAGGGAACGTCGGGCTTTCACCTTGCTGGCAGCGGTTATGTTATCGCTGTAGATGTTGCGTTCACTGAGGGCTCCTAACGATCTTCGTGCGTGCACGGTGGGACCATTCTGTCGTTGCTGGTGCCGTTGTACTGCGGCTGCTGCACCGCCTTCCGGACGTTTCGTAACGGTCCACTTCAACATCTTGATGAGGTTCTGCAATGATAGAAACACGGGAAAATTTTGTGTTAAATGACACAATAAAAGAAATAAAGGAAATTAAAACTAATTTAGAGCAAACTCGAATGTCCTGCTTGATGCCTCATCCGGTCGGTTTCCGTTTCTTGAATCAAGATAACGGCAAGGGGCACGGAGCGAGTCGAGTGTCGTGAGAGTGCGACAAAGAAGACGAGCGCTCATAATTTCGATGAGTTTGTGTGGCTGCGCTTTTGCGTGGAGATGGAGGAGCCGCCGGATTTCCTTTCTCGCGTGCGCTCTCGAACCGAAACCAGGGATGGAGGATGACGTTGCCGGACGGTTCTCCCACGGTCAGACGGAAAGACGAAAATACATCAACGAAACGTGATCAACATTCATAATTCTTGTGTGGAGTGTAGTGGTGCGTGTTTTTCCTGTGTTCGCCGAAAATAATTCGACGAACAAATTTGGGGACGATGAGACGGGGTGGCAAAAATGCTAGCCACAGAATGAAATGAAAGCTTGAGGGAAGAAGGATAAGAGGCTAAAAGATGATTACGATGATGTGTTGGAGTGAAATATTCAGCGCAACGTTCGTTGGCGGCGTGCTCATTTTGATTGGTTGGGGAAGGTTGCCGCCGACGGAGGATGGGGGTGCCTTTTTATTATTCAGCAGTGCCCGGGGTTGTGCTACCTATATAGTAAAATTTTCAAGCGCCTCTCGTTGACTGCTGCCGCTGCTCCTGCGGTTTCGGGGTTTCGAGTGCTTCTGTAATTCATCATTGGACCAATTTTTTGTGGTGAGGAGCGCGCACGATTAGGACCATTGCTCGGGCACGTGCCTCACTCCGCTAGTGCTGCTTATTGCGGTTGCTATACCTTACAGCAGTAGGCGTTGAGTGGGCCCTGTTGACTTTTCCAGGGTCCTTTGATTGGTGAGAAATTTTTGGGGGGTGTAAAGCAAACCCACCTGGATTTTGACAGTTTCGAAAAGTGAATAGTTCTGCAGAAAAGCGCTCAGAACGTGAGGTTGCTGTCAGCTGTTGAGCCAAGGCATGTGCCGTTGGTTGCACGTCTTTCGTCTATCACGTATGGAACGAAACGAGAGTGGCAGCTACTACTGACTGCTGCGAGGGAATGTGGTGCAAAGCTATTGTGCATTGTGTTCAATGCGCTGCTGTGGCAACATAAACGTATCCGTTTTTCATGCCTTTCCTTAACGCTCAAGAGTCGAAGGTTGTTACAATATTTAAATGACTGCCAGCATGAGGTGCCGGAGTGGAGGGGTTACCCCCATCGGTCGGCAACGACACACGGAATCGGAATCGGAAGGAAATGTAAGGTTAAGTGCCCGGTGCTCAAAAGGTTAAGTGTCGACGATCGAGCGTCAATATGTCGTCACCAGACGAAAAGTGTAAACAAACCAGTAGCGCAGAGGCGACAGTTCGCGCCAGGTGGTTCGTCACCAGCAGGGTCCCGACGTATACAGATTGAGCCGTATCTGATTAATTGACTTTCACGCCTAGATGCCAAGTCCTTTTTCACTTGTTGCTTTGTTTTCTGTCCGCTCTTAGCATCGGTGACTTGCATTTCGAGCATCTTAACGGTCGCACGTTGCACCCTGCCTGACATGCGGGCTGTCAAAGAGTGCACTCGACATAAAGTAAACAAACCTAAATGCCGTGCGCTAACCGTCTGGCTCCGGACGGCCTGACCCTGGCAGCAGTTCTTAGCAGGTGCCTTCGTTTCCTTTTGCTCTCAAATTTGGGACTGTTATCCTGTCCTGATGTGCGAAAAGTGTGGAAGGCGTGTGCCCCGAAAAGATGCGCCGTTAAGCTGGGTTTAGACTAGGCAAGTCAAATGATCAACTCAGTTGAATTCAATTGGCTTGCAAAGTTGAGCCTGGTTCAACTTTTTTCAATTCAAGTGAGTTGATCAAGTCAGTTGAATGGCATGGTTTACACGTTCAATTCGCATTCAAGTCAGTTGAATTCAACTGACTTGATCAATTGACTTGCCCTGTCTAAACCAAGCTTTAAGGTGAAGGTGTTGTTGTTGTTTTTTGCTTCTCTGCTGTTCGGTTTATCAAATTACACACGACCGCCAGGCGGCACGGGGCATCCGACCTCTCAAGGATCTGTCAGCGTAAATACAATGAGGAAACGGAAAGAATAGGTGAGAAGATCCGATATAAAAGGAAAAAAAAACGGAAAACAACTCCTTAATTGATTATTTATTGACGGCAATAAAAGTCATTCGGATTCGAATAAACAAGTGTTTATTATCGATTTTACAAGACTGTGCCCTAGGAAAAGAAATTATGTTTCCGTTTCGTCAGTAGACGTCAATGCCATCTGACAACGAGGCGAGTTGTGACGTAATAGAGCGTGCACTTGACAGCCCACTCGTTGACCTTTTAACACGCCGCCGTATCCGCCACCTTGAGCAAGCACCGGGGTAAATTTATAACGGTCAGCCATTGCAACGCTCCTTTCCCGGTTAATCGTGTTCCCGGTTACGGTAGCAGCAGTGAGGATTTAAGGTTCATTTGAATTTCAAATCAACCCACACAGTCAGCTGTTACATTGGTCGTGGAGCTTATGCCTCTATATTGTTGCAGTGGCCTTGAGACAGCTGTTCCCAGTTGGAAGATCTTGATGGGTTACGCTTGCCTACTTGGGTGCATTTTAATCGCTTCGGCAGGACAAACTGTCAACACGCTACAATCTAGTACTGCATTTCAACGGATATCATGTGGCCACTGAAGTGGCGAGCGTGAGAATGAACGCTTTTCTATCGCACGAGAATCTGATTGCGGAAACACACAAATTGGACGTCATAATTATTTGTAACGAGATCCCCTCCTTGATTTCACAGCTATGATAAACCTATTTGTTAACTAGCTCATGCAGGCGAGGTACTGAAATCACGCGAGCTAGATCACGTAATTTGTTTTTAATTTGATAGACAATAATTTAATTTGTCCGAGGAACAGTGACCCTTCCATTTCCGGCCTCTTCCTGGATTCTATGCAGCGCAGATGTTCACGCAGCTCCGTACAAACATCATCTGTTTCATGGTGTGTATTCTACGCCTATGTGACATCGATACCTCACCGTCGTAATAATGAATGCTCAACCGAACCGTTTTTCCACCTTTTCGGGGTGAAGCACCCCGGAAAAATTCTGATCGCGTATAAGAAAATATCGAAAGACAAACACCCATAAGATCTCCCGCACTATCGGAAGGACTCACCGCAGAGGCTTATCGCACGACTTGGATCTGTATTTCTGTTTTTTTTTTTTTTCTGGTCGTTTTGTCTTACCCGGAGGAGGTCGCAGATGGCGTCAAAGCTACCGGATCGAAGAGGCAAGCGCGCAGTGTGGTTTACCGAAATCCGCCTAGCAGCCGCCGTCGTCGTCGTCGACGGCTGTCAGAACGCGCAGGAGGGGTGACTTGGCCGCACATAAATTTGAATAATAAAACTTATTACTGTAATTTCTGGACGCTATCGCAAGGTTCAGATCTTTCAAGGAATGAACGGGTGAACCAAATAAAACAACACAAAGTGTGTAGATAGAGAAGGGTGCGCAAGGGAGGTAATGTTTATGATGTGACGCATAAAAATTTTCTCTTGAAAGAATGTTGTAAAATATGATCCCTGGACGCAAATATTTGTCTAGCATTCGATCGCTCGCCGTACAGGTTATCGATAAACTTTCCCTGGTGTAAACAAATGAGGGAGCTCAAAAATGAAGGAGTAAATGACCGTTGCAAATTGCCTGCTACTGGATGACGGACACACCCCACCCGCAGCAACAGCAGCAGCAGTACCAGCGGAAATTACTGACTTTTGTTTGTGCAAAAGTTACAATTAGGAATACAGGGAGTGAGGGAAGTGGTGACAAGCGTGACAATCGGTTACTCTACGCTTTATTTTCCAGTAATGTCTGTCAGTGAGTAAGCAGGGAGTGAAACGCTGACGGTGCCACTGCCGTTCAATTATATCACCTGGGATCAGGTGGAGGAAATTGTTGAGCGAATTCAGTTTTGACAGTTAAAAAGAAGTCGAAATTCCCCAAAAAGTTCTTTGTCTGGCAAGCAATCTGCAGTTGTGGGTTGAAAAGCGAAACTTTCGGTTCCTCGAAAATGGCGTCACAGTGATTCCCAAGGAGATGAATCTGACCAAAACTCCGGACTAAAGCCAACTGAGGAATACTGTGAAGCACATACTGAAGAAAAAGGGTGGACCTGAAGGATTTCAAGCGGAAATGGAATTTGGCAGCCAGACAAGTGGGAACAGGGCTCGGGTAAAGATGATGGGCCGAGTACGAAGAAAAGTTCGAGCAGTGGTAAAAAGGTTAGGTTAGGTTATCTTTATTAGCGAGACTTGCATCCAGAGGTTGGTTCATCTCATTATGGTAAGAAGGAAGACTGAACCAATGGTCTTACAATAAACATAATACCTACTAATGTGTAGTTTTTACATTGAACTATGAAAAATAAAACGCATTTTTAAACCCCAAAAAGATTTTCGTGTCCGGATTTTTTCGTGTTCAACCACCAGAAGTGTGTCTGAAAAACTTTACGAAAAAAAAAATGAATACATGTGAAGACAGTGATTATACAAAATCTAATATCATATCCAAGCATGGAAAATCACTTGGGTACGTTAATTTGCCTCTAACTTTTTGCATCAACAGAGTAAATTACATTCACTGTAAACAATAATAAGTTCTGTTTGCACTAGTCCGCCATGCATAAAAAATACAGATTTGAGTTATTGACAACAGTTGTAGACCAACAAAAGCTTCATAAATCATTTTGCGGAATTATGATGAAAAAAGTTAGAGACAATTGAATGCAAGTAGTTGTAAATGCCTATGACTATGCCTTTGACGTACCTTTAAACGAAGACAACATATCAAGAAGACTGGTAACTCTTAAGCTTTCTTTTAATTTTTATTTTTATTTATTCGTCGTCAATCAAATGTGACCAGTTTAGGTTACAAAAAAAA